TAGAGAGCAAAAGATCTTCCATTCATGTACAGATGCAGCCTTGGAGGGGTGCGGGGGGGTTGGCCAGGGAAAGATCCACAGAGACAATCACCTGTCTGGCACTTCAGGGCTCTGCAGCCTGGGGAGGGGGCTACAAGCTAGGTATCTCTCCTGAGGCACAGAGGCAGTGGCCTCATGGCCAAGAGGCATCAAGAAGCTGTAAGTAGAAGCAGAAGTAGAACTTGACAGGACTATTGTGAGCTCCTGTGAGATATGCCTGGGGACGCCCTGAAAAAGACCAGGGAGGACCTGGGCAGAGGCCCCACACAGAGGGCAGAAGGGGTCAGAGGCCACGAAAGCTGCAGTTACTGTCACTGGGCCCTCATGTGTGCCCACCTGTCTCACGTGGTCCCAGGAAACACAGGTAACAGCAAGAAGGCCTGAAAGTGACAGCAAGATGTTGGTGTGTGTGTGAAACCCCTTCGCCGGCGCCTGGAATTAGGCAGGAGGAATCTGAGGAGGGCTGGTCTTCCCGCAACTCTGGGCAGAGAAGATTCCCAAAGAACTTCTTATTAATGGGATTCGGACTCTGTTTTGACCTCCACGGGCCATAGTCTTCTAAGGCTGGGGATTTGGCAAGGAGATTAAATGGGTTTTGCTAAGATGCCCAGAGTCTACATTCTCCTGGCATAGGACCTAATTTTCTAGCTCCTCCCAGGGACAAGTCTGCCTCTGAACCTGGATTCGAGGTTTAGGAAGGAGATGTTCTCTAGATCCAAGAGGCCTCCAGAGGCAAATAGGGATTTGGACCAACAGTGAGCCAGGGATTCAAAGGGGGCTGTTGAGCCTTCGGGGGGCAAGGAGAACACCTGCTATGTGTGGGGAAAATAGACTTTGTGGAAGCTTCCAGGGCCCAGGGCCAGGATGGAGAGAGGAACCACTGCTACAGCCCACACAATTAGCAAAATGCTGCAAGATGTCAAGTCAGTTAAGGATCGAGATGCGGCTCAGGGCTCTGGGAAAGCATCTGCGACTGATTAGTGATGTCAACTAAAGGGCTGAGGACAATGGGAGCCTCGTGTCTGACTCTGTGACCTCAGCTGAGGGACTGTGTCTCATTCCCTCTCAGTTCTAAAGCAGAGTGTGGGAGAAAGCTAGCAGCCGAGCAGTCAGGAGCCCCTTATTCATGAAGCTAAAACCTTCATTTATCAGGAGGCACTCTTAGCAAGTGCTTTTTCTGGCTCTCCATGTAAAAGCCTTTGAGAAGCTCAGCTGGGGAGGCTCTGACCCCTAAGCTGGACCCAGTGAGTTCAGAGGGGTCCTTTTTAGGATCCTTTTTTAGGGGCTGCTCCAAAGCCCAGCCCTTCTGGGGCTCGTCCACACCCTCCAACCATGACCTGCACCCTTCACGGCAGGCCCACCCCCACGTGCGCCCTGCTTCCAGCCTCATCTGCATTTAACATCCCTTGTTGGGCTGTGGCAGAGAATACTCAACAGACTCATATTAAAAATGCCCTTTAAAATTCAAAAGCTTTGAACTAAAGAAATATCTCAAGAAGTTTTCATGGAAAGTTCAGCTCCATGGGTTCAATTCACTACACTTAGATGCACCTTTTCAAATAATAGGGAAAAAAATGTAACAGGGTCAGACCCAATCAATATGCTTGTTCAAACAGAATTGCAGGGACTGTGATGTGCACACATTTTGTACTCTGCCTTTGTACCCCGCTCTGAAGAAAGGTTTCTTTGCTCGGAGAGCAATAAAAGCGATAGCCTTTGGAGTGGAGGCGGCAAAGCAATGGTATGTTTACCGGCCCGGGAAGGGCTGCCATTTTTTCCCAACCCCACAGCCTTGTCTCTTTGTTCTTTTCAAAACGGCACGAAACCCACATGGGTAAAGTCCCTCAAGCATCCCGGCGTCTGATGCTGAATCAGAAGCAGGGGGCTCCCAGAATTTGCCTACCATGTCTCAGAAATGTGATTTGTGGATTAGACAAATAATTTGCTGCTTCTTTCCTACCCTTGGTGCGAACACAAAAGGACATGCCATGGTTACATACTGTAACCACAGGTGGAGGAAAATTCCAAAGCCCAAAATGGGTTCTTGTCTAGCTGAGCCAGGGTCCACATCCACCCCCACCCCTGCCATCCCCAAACTGACTTTGGGCAGATAGAGGGTTCCCTGGCCTTGGGCTGTAATTTATAATAGCCAGGAAAATTCTAGAGAACTCAGTGTAATGGAAGACCACAGCCAAGGGGTTAGAGGGAGGCAAACAGGCTCAGGGAAGTTTCTACTCTCACAGCCAGCCATGACGGCAGGCAGAGAGAGGATGATGGGGAGCAAACAAAAGGTTTTCAGCATCTACACTAGTCTGGGGACCTCTATCTCACGTGCACTCAGAAATGCAGGTGCAACTCAGCTTTATCACTGAACAATGCCCTGGACATGTTGAGGACCTGGGCAGTTCAGGAAGCTAAAGTGGGAATTATCCCTAACCCTCACCGCATACTAGATCCTAAAGTGTTCCCATTGGTTTCTGCTAAAATTAGATAGACATCCTGAACTCAACTTAAAGTTACAACTCGGGAGGGGATGTTGCAAATGGATGCAGGAGCAGCATTTGTCAATCACGATCCCATTGTTTAAAACTCTGCTCAGAAAAAAAACAAAAATCAATCAATCAATCAATCAAACTCTGCTCAGGCCCTGTGCCCCTGTTAAGAAGCAAAGCTGGAATCGCTAGGCCACATGGGGTTTTCCGGACTGGTCCCCCCCTGGAAGGTCCCCAGTTGGCACGTGCTTTCACAGGTGGCCCCATCTTACCTCAAGTAACGAATCCTCTTGAGAGGGTTGAGAATGGGCCCTGTTGCCTGCTTACACATCACGTGGCTGGAGCATGCCTCTTCCAAACCACACATGCTCTTCATGGAGTCTGAGTTGAGGGCCTGTCATGCTCTCTGTAGACTGAAGTTTGGGTCACAGTTCATACAGAAGAGGCTACCCCTTCTCCTGGCTGAGCTGGAGAGAACAGAGAGCCGCCTCATTCCCTCCTACACAGGATTGTATGTGTGAAACAGAAACTGAGACCAACAAACAGAAGAAAAAAGCGGACATGTTTTTGCTGGAAAAAAAAGGCTGTGTCTACCGATGGCCACTCTGTGTGTAGGGAGTATTGGTTCCTGTATCTTTTTTTTTTTTTAATTTTTTAACTTTTGCACTCAGTTATTGAGGACTCTGCTCTCCCATGCCTCCCTCCCCCGCCCAACCTCTTTCATCTGTTATGGAGAGATCTCCACATAATGCTTAAAACCAGGGAGTTATTTTATTTTAAAATTCAAAAAGAGATCAGTAGCTAAAAAGCAGCAGTGTTCCTTGCTCAGAATGCCTTGGAATCTATTCTCCCCAGTTTAAACAGTTGGGAAGTCCCTCTAAACCTTGGGTATTCTTCTTGGCAATAGAGAAAAACTGCCATAACAACAAACTTGGAAATACACACATCCCAAGCTGAACTGGCCTCTTGGCTTCTGTTTTAAGCCTACATCACAAGTCAAAATGAATTAAATACAAATCCAGTTTGCAATGGTCCGTCACTAACCCGCCTCACTAGAACAAGCCGGCGGCGTGTGGACTAGAAAGGGTCCCCTGGCATCCCTCTTGCTATCTTGGATTGCAGTCTGCCTGCCAAACCAACCCCACGCGGGAGTCCACAGCCCAGATGCCCCTCAACTGGGGTGGGGGTGGGCAGCCACTGTGAGCAAATGCTGAAGCCCCACCAAGGGCCCAAAAGCACAGGCCTTCTTCCCCCAGGGCCTCCGAAGTCAATCAAGTGTCAAGAACTATCAGCAGGAGAAACTTGTCATAGGTGAACACAAGCAAGATCGAGAACTGACACTGGGGATTTTCCAAAGAAATGGAAAAAAACTAATACAGGCCACTCATGAGGACAGAGCCAGCAAGAAGCAGGAAGCATATCAGGTTAATATTTTAATCTGTACATCACTTTTTTTTTTTGCAAACCATTACACTTTTATTTAAATTAACTTTTTCTTGCAAAATATTCATTTCATTTTTCCAACAAAATCTTATAAAGGCAAAAATAATATCTTATTTTGGCAAATGTCATGAAGTTGATCCTGGCAGCATATGGAGTTAGTTAAAAATAGACAGCAATGTCTAAATATAGTTAAGATTTTTTTTTTCCGACCATAGTCAAAGACAAATTTTCATTTAAAGTGTGGCCCCACCCAATGGAGGTTGGTTTTTGTTTTTTTTTTTTTCCTTAAAACATCATTTTCTGTATGCAGAATATCATGAGCTCATGACTTAACTAAAGGGCCACAAACACTGTGCCTGGCTTGGCAGCCCCCTCCTCATTGGAGACAGGAAGTCAAGTCCAAATCCTACTGCCTTCCATCAGGGATGTTGGGGGCACACTGCCTGCCCTCTGGCCACCAGACCATGTCCTGGGGAAGCTGACCTAGGTTCTCCAGGGCAGGCAGCAAAGCCCTATCACAGCCTAGTGTGGAGTCAGGGAGTTTTAGGTAGACGCCACCCAGTGTGAAGTTTATTGCTTATGATACAACAAAAGGTGCTTCCTCTCACCTTTTCTGTGTTTCAAAATGTATATATGTATTTTTTTAATTAAAGCAAACTGTTCTGTTTTTCCCAAGAAGAGCCCTTTGCTGAGAGAGCCTCATGAACAGATTGGGAGCCAAACCTCTTAAATACACTACCGCCCCTAAACCAAACCCAAGGACCAAGGCACAGACTTGGGTTCCAAATGGCAGCCTGGTGGAGCTTCCCCATCCAGAGCTGGTTATCTGGCTAGGTCAGGGACAGCTGACCTCTGCAGCTAAGGATACCTCTTACCCCAGATAGCACGCCAATGAGCCCAATGCTGGACTCCACTGGAAGCACATATCAAATCCAACCTTCACCTGAGTTCACTGGATGTTGGACTGGCCTCTGCCTGCCCCGCCCTTCTCCCAAACCCACACCTACCACCCACACGGTACCTGAATCTGTATGTGCAGCTCCCAAATCCTGCATCCTCACCTTTCCAGCCACTCAGCCCTTGAGGTGAACATTATAAAATACATTCTGATTCTAAAATACAGCGTCAGTATTTTACAGTGTGTATCAAAAGTGCCTTTGTCATATGTAAAAAGGAGTCTGAACTAAAACAAATCGGGGGGTGGGGGTGGTTGTTAGGACCTAGCCCTATGGTGAACTCCTCCCAGTTGGTGGGCTGCTCCTTCCTCCAGCCAGAACCCCTGCTGAGCTGGAAGGGGTTTCCTTGGGGGAAGGAAGATCAATCTTCTCGGAAGAAACTGGTTCCACTGGGTCCCTGGCTCCAACTTCTCCTTTGCACGTTGGGTCACGGGTCAGTCACTGCCTGGGCTGGCAAAAAGCACAGGACACAGTGAGGGGCTGGCAGGATCCCAGCCCACATCTGGGGAGCAGGCAGTGGGCATGTCTGTGTACGCACACAACAGGGAATGGCAGGCTGACAAGACAGAGAGCAGCTGAGCAGGGGGCTGGGGCAATGCGGCCGCTGCTGGGGGACCCTCAGCTTCTAGGACTCATGGGCCCTGGGCCCCACCCTTTCTTCACTCCTACTACTTCCAGAAAGTTTTGCCAGACACATGCTGGCCCCTAGACTGGGTCTCTGCTCTGATAGGGCAAAAGGCCTGAGCAAAGAGGACTCTGGGGTCAGTTCTGGCCCTGCCCTTCATTCACTGAGTCACTCTGAGTAACGCTCACTCTCAGCCTCCATGAGTCTCATTTTTTTAACCTAAAAACAGAATGGTCATACCCACCTCCTAGTGAGGATTTACCCTAACAGGAGGGCAAACGGGAATGTGGATGCACTCTGAAAAAAGCATTAAAGGCCTGTCTCACAACTATGGGGGTGTCAAAAGCCAGGAAGAACAGGGCCTCTCCCCTGCCTCTCCGTGGCCTGGCATGGTGTCACCACAGCAGGAGAAATCCACACACCCTACTGTGGCCCCAACAGGTCCCTGTGGCCTTTACAAAGGACGTGGCTGGAGCATTTCCCTGTGGTTCTTCAGTCACGGGGTCTCTAATGCACACTTTCTGAGAGCCTGGCCCAAGCAGACCAACCTCTTCCTTCCACCCTCAGGCTGGCAGGGCACCAGGCTGGGGAACACCTGCTGAAAATCACGAACCCCACCCCCAATGCACACACTCTCTGTCCCTCCCTTCTCCAGACACCTAGAGCTCCTGGGGGTGGCCCAGATGAGTCCACCGTGGTGACAGGGAACAAAGGCTCTGAACTCGCACCGTAAGGGTTCAAACCCTGGCTCTGACACTTGCAGCTTCAACTCCTTGGGCAAGTCCCTCAAGGTCTCTGAGCTTCATTTCCTCATCTATAAAATGGGGGTGAGTATCTTCATAGGGTGGTTGTGTGGATCGAAGGAGAGGCTTAGCACGATGCCTGGCACATAGCAGGTACTCAGCTATGCCAACCGTTAAGTACATACAGAGGAAAGAAAGGGCAACCCTACAAACTGATGGCAAGATGGAATGTCAGCGAGAGGACTGCTGAGACTTCTGGTCTGACCCTCCCCTGTCCGGGTGAGGCAAGCGGGCTCAGGCCAAGAACTCACCACAAGACTGGACCAGATGCTGGGCCTCCTGGCTCCTAATCCCTCCCTGCCTCTCACCACTAAATGCTCTCATGGGGAGGCCCCACAAGGCATGGTCCCAGAACATTCTGAATGCTGAGGGCCAACTTCACAGTGTCTTGGGTGGCCTGCCCCTGAAGCTTCCCTCCCTCTCCCCTTCCTGAGGTGCTCAAGTGCCGGGAAGGGCAGTCCTAGTCCTTGCTCTGACCCCAGTTCCATTTGGGCCTGGAGTGAGCCTCCATCTCCTCACTGGGCCCGTTTCCGGGGTTTTTCTGGTCTTCCAGCTCTTCCAATTCTCTGGCCAAAGCCCAGAGAAGCTGAGACCTACTCTTCCACCCCAAGCTGGCAGCCTGGCCTGCACTGGCACCTTGGGGCACTGGGCTCCCTGCAGGGAAGAGAGCTGGGGAGAGGGAAGACCGTTCTAGCTTCTCTTTCAGGGAAGCAGGGCACTTGGATCACCAAGCCTCTCCTGTAGCAAAGCCACTGAGAGCTGAGTTCCTAAAAACCATCCATCCCCCACCCGCCTGCCAGTCAGGGCGGTCTCCCCAGCGGCCACTTTGCCTGCGGAAGGAAGCAGGAAGCGTCAGCAGGTGGCGCTGCAATCTTCCTGGCGGCGGCCGAGGGGAGGGGAGGGCATGCTCGGTGCTAGGGGAGGGGCAGGCCAGTCAGGGCTCTTACTTGGAAGGTGTTAGACAAAGGTGTAGTGGAGTCCGTTGCTTAAAGGGGGGTAAGGTGGCACCGTCCTGGAGGACAGGAGGGCTTTAGGCGGGAGGAGGGCCAGCTGCTGCGCTAGACGGACACACAGGAATTAAGCGGGGTGTTAGGCTCCTCATCTGCTCCCTGCAGCACCAGATGCCCCACACTCGGCAGGGCTGCAGTGCGCGGGCCACGCTGCCCACCAATGGCCTGGGCAGCACACCCATGGGGCCCGGTGGGGGCCTGGCTGGCACTGGCCCGCAGTTCCCAGATATGCCCCTGAGCTAGAGAGAGGGAGCCAGAGTAAGGAAAGGCTGTGGCAAAGGTGGCCACTCGGTGGGGAGGTGCAGGAGGCCCTGCTAATTGCCTGCAGGGTGTGTGCGCCAGGGCAGGCTTGCCTGCCAACCGTAAGGAAGCCGAGGTCCATGTGGGTAGGGCAAGCACAGGCTAGATACCTTATGGTGTGGGCAGGGGGAGTATCCCTGCTGGACCCTTCAACATGGAAAGGAGTCAAAATGACCAAGATGGGCCACAGGGAGCCCCCAAGATCACTGGGAGGTGGGGTCTGGGTGAGTCTTCTCTGGTCTCCCCAGCCACACCAACCACCGCTCAGCCCACTTAGCATGTCTTCAAGGGAGTGAGGACAGCAGGGACTGCAGGGACTCTATGCAGGATCACAGCGTGGGGGGGAAAAGGGAACAGCTTTCCCCTTGTCCGAGGCCACTCCTGTGGCTTCTCGAAGTGATGTTCACGCTCTGCTCCCCAGACCAGACTTCCAGAGCCAGTCCCCTCAGGATCCATCAGGCCCCACCCTTCATCACTTCCAGACCCTCTGGCCAGGATTGGGGGCCCAGGGGGACCGTGACAGCATTTCAGCCTCTATGATCACATCCTCCCTGGAAGGCCTAGCACACAGCTGGCCATGGGCACTACCCAGACACACAGTGGCCCCTGCATCTGGGGGACAAATAGCACCGGGTCAACTGGGAGGGCACACACAGGGAGCAGAGATGTGGGAGGGAGGAGCCACACGTCTGTTTCCTGAAGAAAAAGCCTTGTACACACACAGACACATACGTGTGCACAGGCACACATACCCCTTCCCATTCCACGGTGTAATTTTTTTCCCCACTGGCCAGCAAAGTCCCACTTCCCAAGTCCTGCTTACTGGCACAGGCCACTCTGAGAAAGGGGACAGTGGCTTTGATTGGGAGCCAAAGCAGGGGTTCCAGGGGGGGCTGGAAGGGCCCCCTTTGCCTTGCCCCAGCAAGAAATCCAAACACCAATGCTTTCCTGCCCCCTTTCTCGTGAAGCCAGAAACCTTCGCCTTGGCCCCTGAGAACCCAGAAAAACCTGTTCTTAACCCACATTCTCAGAGAAAGCTGAACAGCAGCACCACTCCCAGATTTAAGAAGGAGCTAGAGACACCCTCTCCTGGACCTCTTGCCTCTGACACTCCTGAGCCTCAGTTCTCCCACCACCTGCCCCGCCCCACCTCACCTCCCAAGCCCTGGGCTGTTCATGGGACAGGAGAACATGCCACTGCCCCTCAACTACCAAGCCTGACAGCTGGTTTTCTGCAGACTCCCTGACAGGCCATGTTGGGCTCTGAGCCCAAGCAGCAAGTGGGAGCCAGACTTGGAGGCTGGCCTCCTTGGCCTCACCTGCCACCTGCTTGCTGCGCTGGGAGGCCTCGGAGGCCAGCGCGTGGGAGATGTTGATGATACGCGCCTGCTCCAGCAGCTGCGAGTCCAGGTCAGCCACGCTGTTCCGGTCCTGGCCTGATGGCGGCTGTAGGTTGCACATGCTGCAGGAGGGCCAGAAAGCAGGCTTATGGGCCCTCCCCACCCTGGCGTCTGCCCCAGGAGAGGAGGGTCTCCCTAGCCTAGAGGCTCTCATCCTTTTAGGGAGCATCAGATAAACATAGTGCCCTTTCTCTCTAGACAAAGGTGTATGTGCTTCTCCCAAACACCCAGCCACAGCTTTGTTTCTCCTCTGGGGGATCACGGCCTTAAGAAGAGAGTTCTAGCTCTGCGTTCCTATTAAATCTGAAATGAAAGGGCTAACCTAACTCTGAAAGAGAGGCCCTCCAATACCAGCTTTATGCTTCTGAAGCTCCAGGAGGGGCTGAGGAGATAGGAAAGCCTCCCGTCCTGGCTTCCAGGGAAGTGGGCAAGGCCTTTGGCACCTCAGGACAAGGCTGAGCCCCTGGCTCTGGTCTAGGGATCTGTGTGAGGGAACATAGGCTCTAACCCCAGAGGACCAGCCTTGGGGTTGATCTCCAGCTGTGTCCACCTCACTGTCATACTTGGCCCGGCTCCCTACATTTGCCAGCATCACAAGACACAGATCTGGGGGCAAAGGACCACAGTGGCCCTCTATGTGTATTTCAGGACTTGCAGATGACCTAGCAAACCTCCTCACAGATCCAATGGTGCCATTCTGAGAGCCAGCCTGCCCTTTGCAGTAAACAGAGCTTACCTGAGTCAGGGACCTGGCAAAACATGCACCCTAGTCAGCCTGGGCCAGGGCCCAGGTAGTAGAGACACCCCCGGGGTCGGCCTAGCAGGCTGTCAAGACTCAAGCATCGTAAGAGCTGACCTGGAACGAGCAAGGATGTTGCGGATCTTCTCGGCTTTGCGATACCGCGCCTGCAGCTCCTCAAGGCTGGGCGGCTCCTCAGGGTCCAGCTCCACGTAACGCTCAGGGATGGAGACCTTCTCTGGTTTGGCCAGCTGAGAAAAGGACCGGGCGGCGGTGGCAGGTGGGCTCAGATATTGGGTTTAGGATTTGCTCCTCGCCCTGTCCCCCAGCACAAGGAAGCACACGGAGCCCACAGAGTTAAGTAACTTGCTAAGATCAGTGCAGTCCACTGTGGAGTCGGGATCTCAACTGTGTTCTTTCCACCACACCAGATAACCTCCTTCAGGCCAAGGGAAGGGAAGTGGAAAGGCAAGACAGCGAGATTGGAAGCCCTCAGGATAAAATGATTATCCTTAATGCCGCCTTCAATATGAGCTGAGCCCTGCCAACCTACACAGTCACATTGACCCACCGTGTGGTCTCTGCCCCTGCTCTTTCCTCTGCATGGGATGTTCTTCCGTTCACTCCACTGCTTGTGACCCTTTGGACCTCACTTCCAGAAGTCTTCCCTGCCCCTCCCCACTCTACCCCTGGTATCCCGTCCTGTTTTCTGTTTGTCTCTCTGCTGTCTAGTGTAGGGACCTGACACTCAGTAGCCCTTTAGCAAATACTCCTTGGGTGGGTGGTTAGGTGGGTGGATGAAAGGAAATGAGACTGCTTTCTGTCCCTACAGAAGCTCCTCTGCTCTACAGCAAGCAGCCATGCAGTATCCACTGATGGCAAGAGGACAATGTCCCCAGCTCCCCCCAACCAGTCTCTGATGTGAGCCCAGCCCCAACCTCAGCCTGCTGACACCCTGCTTAAACTCAGAATGCTAAAGGCAACTTTTGCATACCCCAGAGAATTTCTTCCTCCTTGAACTACAAAAGCACATTAAATGAGGTTGGTTGAAGCTTCTAAAAACAAGCTAAATCCAATCCCAGGGTAGATCTGGACTTGAATTTAAACCCATGCAGACCTTTCATTCTGGGGAAAGATGGCAAGAAATCAGCTCTTTTCTGTTATTTCCAATGAGGGCAGATCCAGAGGAAGGAAGTAGATTACATTGTAGCAGGAGGGATTTAGGTTAGAGATAAGAAAGGACTTTTTCCCCTGGCTGGCAGGTCAATTAGGACACCACGAAGCATACTTCCATTGCCAAAGCAGCAGGGAGAAGCTTCTTGTGTGAATCTGAGAAAGCAAAGACCTTTGGTTGTTGCAGAGGTGCCAAAGGCGAAAGGTCTGAGGGTGGGGGACCAGCTTCCTTAACCTGTGGAGCCCAAGCTGACCCCAGAACTCAGCAACTCCACAGGTATTAATTTTCCCCCACCCTGCTAAATCTATCCTTCAAGTAGTGAGAACATTTCCTCTTGTATAGTTTCAGGGCATGCCAAATCCTCATACAAATATTTGTAGGGTATCTGTGGACCCCTGTGTACTTCATTCAACAGAGTTGTCACTTGGGAAATATTTACAGAGCACCTACTATGTGCCAGGCCCTGTGCTAGGCACTAAGTGCACAGAGAACCAAACAGCCATAGACACTGTTCTATAGAGCTTACAAACGGCACAATATAGGCCACAGGAGACCTCCCCATGTCTTGAAGACCCTGAATCTGTCACTCTCTTAATTCCTTGCTCTTCCCTTGGGTAAGACACATTCCTGAATGATAGAAGACCGAGGGGTTACTTGTTTTTCTGGGCCTGGCCAGTCATGATGCATTTGTGCCACCAGAGGGCACTAAAAGAACTCAGACCAGAACTACGGCTCCTCCAGGGCAGGAAATTTCACCTGTGATTTTTCAACGCTGCTCACTTCCACAAACCGCCCCCCACCCCCAAGCCTAATTGCCCAAGTTGGCCTCACTGGCCAGTTGCAAGGCCAACTCCTAGTTTTCCGGGGAGCGTTTCCCAATAACAGCTATCTCATCACATGCCTACTACATGTCACATGCCTACTCCATGCCAGGCCCTGTGCTCGTGGTTTTCTGACCACTGCTAATCCTCCAGGCAATGTGCTGAGTCACTTCCTCCTCACCACAACCCACTTTACTGTCCAGGAAACCGAGGCTCAGAGAAGTTAAATGACTTGCCCTCAATTATGGAGATAGAGAGATCACAGATGTGAATCTGCATCAAAATGCCTTGGCTCTGGGGCGCCTGGGTGGCTCGGTCTGTTACGGAACTGCCTTCGGGCCCCGCTCATGATCCCAGGGTCCTGGGATCGAGCCCCGCATCCTGTCCCCTGCTCGGCGGGGAGTCTGCTTCGCTCTCTGCTCGTCCTCTCTCTCTCAAACATAAATAAATAAATAGTCTTAAAAAAAAAAATGCCTTGGCTCCTTTTCCTAACCTCAAGCCGCTATTCATCCCTTCTCCTGGCCTCCCTGAAGCTGAGCTCTGTCCCCATTCAGGACAACCCCCCCCCCCCCAGGGCCACTGGGAGGGTTGGTGAGGCCACAAGCCAAAGGCTGTCTCTCCTGAGGGGACACGAGGGAAGACCCCACCCTCACCTCTCTGCCGATGTCCAAGTCATAGTGCTGAGGCTCCAGGTCCAGCTCAGTGACAGGCACGGCCGGCACCTTCAACCAGCCCTGGTTTTCCTTGTCCTTTCTCTCCCCTTGCATGGCCCGTTCCAGCAACTGCAGGTCAAAGTCCTGCTCGCGCTTCCACTGGCGACAGAACAAGAAGGGTAAGTGTAGTCACGGTGTGACTGCTGCAAGAGCCAGGCGTGCCCCCTTTCGGATGGGGCCTGCGGGCACCGGGGTCCGTGGGAAGGGGGCCTGTGACCCGTTGGGAAAAAGCTGTGTGACCGTGAGCCCCTCAGCCTCACCTCTGAAACAAGGCTGTAGCTGTGGGACACAGATGGTCCCTGCAGGGTGCTGTAGCTCCACGTAATAGAGGAGGAGACCTCTGCCCCATTTATACGGCCTGATGCCAGGCTGCTGCTTCCTCTCCCATCTGTACCCCAGAGGATTCGCACATACACCTCTAGGGCCCAGTTCTGAGACCCATGACTTCAGACTCACAATGGTCTCCAGAGATACAGGAAGTTTCTAGGTCTAAGAGGGTGACCCCAAAACAGAGCCTTGCGACAGAGCTCCAGAGAAGCTGCCCCATAGCTTGTAGAAGGCTTTCTGGTTCAGGAGCCATATAACTCAGCTCAGAAATGATGGAAAAAACAAGCCCTTTGAGGCCCTGGTAAGCACGTACCAATAGCCAAGACCTTCTCTAATAGGTACTCCCAAGAGGATACATTTAGGGGTGAGGGATATTGTACCCACATCAGGGTAGGGAAGGTCTAGCTTGGGCCTAGGGAGGCAGCTAAACTGCTGCTTACCCAGGCATCTATTTGGGGGCAGATATTTTAAGTTAGAAAAAAAATAAAACTATGTAAAATTGAAATGCTAAATCAAATGCAACATTTCCCAGGCTCTTCCTTAGTATCAGCTATGTAACAAGCATCTCTTCACAGAGGGAAAAACTAAACTGGCCATTTTAAGATCCAGACGAAACCCTGCAACTCTAGAGGGCCTTTCAAATCACCTATGGTCTATGTCCTCACAGGCCTTTGACACTGAGCAGGTTGTTGAGAGGAGGGAACAGGCTCAAAGCCTTTTTTCTTGAGCAGAAACCAAGCAGATGCTTCTTCATCCCAGCAGACCTCCTCCGTCCCACCCCATACATCTCACAGAGCCCCAAGTGGTCATGATTGTCTTTGATGCCCCCTCAAAGTGACCCCAAAGCCCCAAACCCACAGCTATATCAGCACATTTCACCCATTCATGCACAAGCTCTCAATACTGACTCCAAGCCAATATAATTGCCCTTAGGTGATGATTTCCAATTACGGTATGAAAGGATTAGGCATTTGAAGTTTTAAGGATGAAAAATTAATTTTAATGATTTGCAAAGAAAACGCACATTTTCTTACATGCTCACAAGTGCCCCAAATAGAGACAAGTCCTCATTGAAACCCAGCCTGATTGTTTCCACAAACAGGAAAAGTTCACTGGACTCTATGATGTATCCTGGGGAAGAACCACGCCAATCCATTGTCATTAAGCAACACGTTTATTGGCGTTGATGCAGAGACTTACACAAGTCTTTTTTAAGAGAAAAATTACAAGATACTCAAGTTATGATTTTTAGATAATCTTGCTACATTTGAGACATCAGGTTGTAAAAGGTCAGTGTTACCCCAAATAACATTTGCTTATAAAGTTTAAAAGTTACTGGCTTTGCAGCTTTTCAGGATATGAGTATCCTGGGTCTTACCCCTTTGGTATCTGTGCTAACAGCTGCAGAGAGGCCCTCTGAATACAGTGGGAATACAGAACATAATATATTTTGGCATCCGTTCAAATTATTATATACTAGAAACACAAAAAGTTTTCCATAAGACTGGAAGAATTAAAACTGAACCACTTTAGACTTGGTGGGATTTATTTAAACGTGCGATCTCTGAAGCCTGTGTCTACTGTCTGGGTGTAAGGCATGGACTTTGATCAACTCATAATGCCTAGACCTCTGCCCGTGATCACGGCCCTCAGGCAACAGGTTGGCTCAGCCTTGTGGGGCGGCTTTTGGGTTAAGTGAATTATGAGTCAGTAGCCCTGCATCATGGGGACAGCAGAAAGGTGAGTCACACATGGGAGTGCTAGCTAGGCTATGGAGACAAGAGCTGCTATTACAAAAGCCTCCTAACAAAGAGCACAGGCCCATTAGGGAATGTTCAATGCAAATTAGAAGCTTCCGTCAACACAATCAGGCAGGATTAGAGAGGCAATGAGCGGTAACACTAAAAGCAAAAGAGCTTGTGCGATGAATTAGGGAAAGAGCAGTCTGGTTAGAGGGCTAGGGAAACATGTGATTTCAAACAACAGGGAAAAGTCAAAAGTTAAATGGAATGTTTCCCAAAGGGACAGAAGGGGACTGTGGGCAGGGTGCAGTGCCTGCAAGCACACCAGGGGGCAGCACAGGTCCCCCCGCTCTCCAGGGGCACCGTGAGGCCTGCCAGCACCACGAGCTGGGGGAGAATGCCAGCCCTCAGGGCTGTGGAGCCCGACCCTGTGCTCAGCTGCTCCGCAGGGCATCGCTCAGAGGTCTGGGAGGCTGGCTGGCTTGCACTCCTCCTCACCAAATCATATCACCACCTTCCTCCTCCATTCCTCAACTCTGTACTCCCAAGTCCTGGATCCAGCTGAGACTCCAAATGCTACAAAGTCCTCTCTCAAGTTCAGCCTGGGGAACAAACTTGGGACATTTTCTCCGGCTGCTAGGCTCCTGCCGTGACATCCTCACTCTTTCTCTGATTCCGGATCACCCTCTGACCAGGTCACACAGGTGGCCCGGGTTGTGGACACACAGCCCGTGGGGTGTTCTCTGAACCATCTCGGTGGAAAGCCTACTCTCTCTGGGGTGTGACGTTCTTGTGTTTGGGGAACTTGGGGAAGCTCTGCTCCCCGTCCCAGCCCCACCTGCCTGGACCCTCCTAACATACTGAGCCGAGATCTCCGGGGAGAGGTTGGCTGAGGTAGCGGGACGAGGGCAGACCCGTCCTCTCTCCTTGGCTCAGCGTCCTCTTGCGCTCCCGGACCAGCGCCTTCTGGTGCCGCTTCATGCGCTCCAATTGCTCCTCCACACTCATCTTGCCCCGCTGGTGGTCCCCTGAGTACAGGCGCTCCAAGGCACTCTTGGGTCTCTGCGGAGCAGGAGGGTGAGAGGCAGCACAGCCGGGCTGGGACCCAAAGGGCAGCCATCATTCCCAACCTCTCTCTCTCTCACACGCACATGCACGCACACACGCACGCACGCTCTAGCTCCTCTAAGCACACTCAGGCTCTCTGGAGAGGACCCCATTCTGCAGATGCAGACACTGAGGCCCAGGTCTGTCCAGCTGGACACACATGTAGCATGTGATGGGGCCAGAACTCAGGGTACAGACTTTCTGAGTACCCTCCTCCTGTGAGCCTGAAAGGCAGGAGAGAAAGGTGAGGGGTGGTCCTCAAGAAATGGAGAGAGCCAGATGATGTCCTTCTAGGTGGGCAGTGGGAAAGGTATCACTGAGCACACGGTGACAGGGACCCTGAGCTCAGGAGGGGCTGAGGTCACCTCAGAGGCCATCCCTGGGGCTCACAGGATTGCCAGTCACCATCCACCTCAGAGCCCTTCCCTCTCAAGGCCACTCACAGGGAAGGTCACCTTGCTGCTTTCGGCATTTAGACCCCTCCGGAGCGTGACGTAGGGAGCAATGGTGGATGACTGCTGGAGCCTTGATGTGGACCCCGAGAGCCCTTAATGAGGAAAGAGAAGTGCAAATTATTTGTGATGGGGTGGACAGGCCACCAGCCCCTCCTGAACCACCTCCCACTCCTGAGAGGAGACCATGAGGACCTAGCCAACAACCCATTCTTCTTCCTCCCCAGGGCCTAGAAGAGAAAAGGCCCAGTAGAGGATGAGGGGCCAACCCAGGGGTGCTCTTTGTCCCCAGCGGGGAACAACATCCCTGGAGCTCTATAGACCACCCTAGTCTTCCTTCACATGCAGAAGACCTGGGCTGCCTGGCAGGTAGAAAGGATGAAGGGGAAGGAATGCCCTTCATCCTTTCTTCCTGATGCACTCCTATGCATCCTGCATGACCCAACCTGCATGCCCTGCCTGTGTGAAGCCTTCCCAAATGCCCCAGGCAGAATTTATTATCCTCTATATCCTTCAGTATATGCACTGGTTACCGCACTGACCACAGCGCCAACACAAGTCCAACTAGCCTGCAAATTTAACAATGCCTGCCTGACCGACTGACTGAATGACTGAATGAATAAATGAAGGAAGGAAAAGCAGCAGCATCAAGTATTTATTGAGCACTTAACTATGTAACAGGCAGGCACTGTGCTACGTGTTTTATATAGATTTTGTTCCACTGGCCTGACCATGGAAGCATTTCCTGACCATTGTAGAGATGAACAGTCTAAGGCTCAGAGAGGTCAAGGAACTTGTCCAAGGTCACATGGTAGGAATATCACCGACCATGTGCTTCCCATGTCTGGGTCCTATGGCTTAGAGAAATCACGTCACCCTGGCTGGCTGGTGCCACCGCCTGTGCTTTCTCCACTACACCCATTCTGATCAGTGGTCGTCCCTGACATCTGGAAATGGGCATCACACCAACTGAGGACACCACTAGCACTTAGCACGTAGGGAAAAGAATGATCAGTACCCTGCAATGCAAAGAGAATCCTCGGCAACAAAGAACTGTCCTGCCCCAAATGCTACTGTCATTGATATACACCTCCAGGCCATAATGAATTAAGGGAACAGTGTCCCTAGGCACAGTGCCAAGGGTTGCCATGGCCCCCTTCAGCAAAGTCCAGGGCCTACACCCTTCAGGGACCAGCTCAGGGCATAGCATGCCAAGGCTATGTGTGGCGGGCTGGGAGTCCCATAACCCTGCAGGTGCCAGAACCATAGCTGTGGCTCCTTCTGCTTCTGCACCCGGCCAATGGGGAAAGCACTTGACCGCCCACCTTAGGGAGCAGACAGGAGGATCAGGTGAGGAACGGATGAAGGAGTGTGGTCAGCCTGCTCAGGGATTCCAGGACACCCAGATGCAAAAAGGTCAGACCTCCCTTTAAGGGGATTTCTGAGAAGAGGGTCTGCTATGGGGACAAGGGGGATATGGGAGAACAGTGAGGAGGCAGCCCCACTGAGATAAGTGTGTTTATTTAAAGAAAGGACTCATGGAGTCTTAGAGTGATACAGGAGAGCAAACATCCCTCTGGAAGGCCTGCGGTGGCCAAACTGATGGCAGTCACCCAACATCCCAGCCTGCAGGGTGCAGTGGCTCTGGAGCCAGAACACTGGGATTGTATTCTGGCTCCATCACTTGTTGGCTATTGGGCAAGTTAGTTAATTTCTCTGAGTCTTAGTTCTCTTATCTCTACAATGGGGATGATGATAATAGTACTTCCTTCGTAGGATTATTATAAATATTGACTAGGTGAATATAAAGAGCCTGAAACCGTGCTGGGCTTTAAAGTAATTGCTATTATCATTATTTCCAGGGGGCAGATGTAATAAAAGAGGAAGAGAATCAGGATGTGGGCCAGAGGAAGGAAGGACAGGCCCTCCCTGCAGCCCAGAGTCTCCTTGACAACTGCTGCCCATGCTGAGGCCCCAAGCTGCAGGCAGAAGCGTGTAAGGTACCCGGTGAGCGACCGGGGAGCAGTGGTATGGTAGTAGTGGGGGTTCCCAGAAAGCCTCCATGGACAGGTTTGCCTTACCTCTGCCTGGCAGTGTCTGGTACCTGCTGTCAGGGCCCACTAGTCCCAGGGAGGGCTGGGCCATGTCCCCACTGAAAGTCACCAGCTCAGGCTCACTAACGTATGACCGGAGCTCCACCTGTGGGCAGAGTCTGAGGCTGTCGTACCTGCCCAGTGTCATGCCACCTTCCCTCCCCTCACACACAGCGGGGCAGCCCCAGGGGTCCTCCCTGCTCACCCTTGAGTCCCCATTCACACACTGCCCCTGCTCCCGGTCTCGCTTCCTCTCGTCCGACTGGCGTTTCAGACCCCTCACTGAAGTGTGCCGGATGATAGTGGCCTCCTTTGGCAGAGGTGGCACAGCCGGGGGCTGGTCCTCTGGACTGTAGAGCTCAGGGAGTGGGGGCCTGGGAGGTGCCTCGTCTTCCTGCTCAGAAAAAGAACCAGAATCAGTGCCCGGTGAGAGGGAGCTGGAGGGAAGATACCTGGTGGCACCACTAAAGTGGTGGCCCAAAAGACTGGAGCAGGCCTGAGCGGGCCACCTCAGGCCTGCAGAGTAGGACCACTTCAGCCCAGGGATGCCAACATTTCCCCTGGATGAGCTGCAAAGAATGGGGATGCCTCTGCTCTAATTCTATTCTTCCCTTCAATTCACTCATTTTCTACTTTTCAAAGCGTTACCTATACAAAATCTGGTCTCCTGGGTCCGTGGTCTTACTCCACTTCCTTGAAGCATTCCTTGAAGGTGGGGAGGGGGGAATAGGCTGGTAACTCTGTGCTTATCTGTATGTCTATGACAGCACACCACCACCACCGCCACCGCCATCACCTGGAGAACAAACATCTACCCCATCTACCTCTACCTCAGACCTTTATAGAGTCTGAGAACTCTATAAAAAGTTCTCAGACTGGGTGCCTGGGCGGCTTAGTTGGTTAAGCGACTGCCTTCGGCTCAGGTCATGATCCTGGAGTCCCGGGATCGAGTCCCACATCGGGCTCCCTGCTCAGCAGGGAGTCTGCTTCTCCCTCTGACCCTCTTCCCTCTCGTGCTCTCATTCTCTCTCTCTCAAATAAATAAATAAAATCTTTAAAAAAAAAAAAGTTCTCAGACTGAGCTGACTCATTGTCCCTGCATGGTCTCTGGATCCTTCAGCAGGTTGCGATCTGAGCAAGGACAGTCTACATCCCCTGTCCATGCCCTTTCTATCACAAATGTGGGTGGCTACAAAATATTTCCTCCTTCCTGATTCAGGGGCTGAATAAGCAGTCAGCAATGGGTGACTCACCACTGCCTTCCTGGCAGCCCACTCCCTGGGTAGTGATGAATAGAACTATTTTCCTTGAAACTGACCCCCGACCCCCTAATAAACATTCTCTGAGGGCTGTGGCTTCTGCGCAGACCAAGAGCCTGGCCCCTGACTGCCACGAACACCCACTCCTGGAACCAGGGACCATCCTTCCTAACCGCCCCCCCACTTCCTTAGTTTAATTTTGCTTTGTTTTTCAGGATTTTGGAAAGGTCAGAAAAGGGTGCTTAAGTTTGCTCTATGAAGATAGTTTATCAGCATTCTAGTAAAGTGACACAGTTCACTATTGTGTGAAAGTTAAGCCTCCTGTCCCAGATACCCACACGGTCTCTGAGCATCAGCGGCTTCCAACCCTGACAATGTCCTGGAATCACCAATTTCTAAAAGGCTCCCCAGAAAGAGAAACACAAAACATTGACACAAACACAAAACTGCCTTGGACTGAAGAAAAGATGGAGGGTGGGAAGAGACATTTTATTATATACTTTTTTGTATCTTTTGATTGTGTGCCCTTTGAGAATATTATCTAATAGAACAGTGACATTAAATTCAAGAAAATAAGCCAAATAAAAATGAAAGAACTATAGCTACATGCAACAATGTGGATAAGTCTCACAAACATAATGTTGAAGACAAGGTACAAGATACAAAAAAATACAGTACCGCGTATAGGCAAAACTCAAGTGTTTAGACACAGGTAGCAAAATTAAAAAAAAAAAAAAAAAGGCAAGGAAATTATCCAAAAAGTCAAGATAGTGATAATAGTTACTTCTGGCAGAAAAGGACTGATGGGCCTGAGGTCTCTAGTTGCAGACAAAGTTCTATTTCTTGGTTTGGGTATTGGTATAAATGGGTGGTCTCTTTATTATTTGTTAAATTATATATTCATGTTTTATGTCAATCTCAGGATATCATTGTTTCACAAACAAAAATATAAAACAAATAAACAACAATAACAAATGGTAAACCTGGTGAAGGAAGGGAAAGAAGACCCCCCCCCCAACCAAGGACTCTGATGTTCAGCCAACTTGAAAAACTCTGCCTGTGGGCCACAGAGGACTCAGCTGTGAAGAGCTTCTGTGACCATCTACTCCAAGCTGCTTGTTGTACACAAGGGGAAACTGAGGAAGTCCTTGCCCAAGGACCCAGTGAGAGAACAAGAACTGCAATCCAGGCAGTCCAGCTCCCAGGCTACCATATTTTCCCCTCTGCTCCTCATCCTGGCTAGCAGGCATTTTGCCTTAAGTCAGAAGCTGTCTGCCCTAGCCATTTCTGCTGTGTTTTACTATTTCCCACCTCCTGTTTTGTGACCTCTTAGATATAAAATTGGGAAGGAGACCTCAATGTGAAGAAATTCACAATGACTCAGTCCCAGCATCTGTCTTCCAGCTCTAGGCCCTGGGAGATGGCTGGAAGCAGGTAGACAGTGAGGACCAAGGTATGGGAACTTGCATGTTTTAGCCAGCACTGCACACCAACCCTGTCAGAGGTCCTAGGCACACCCCGTGCCCAGGCAAAGCTCCTCTAAGCCTTTGTTGGCAAAACCTGGAGGTCCCCTCTACTATAGCTTCCCTGTCACTTGGACCAGATCCCTGGTATTCTCCAGCCAAGGCTGGCCTGGCACTGGAGATGTGAACCATCACAGTACCTGACCACATCTTCTATTTTCTTAAAGTCTCCTGTGCTCCCAGACTCTGTCAAAAGCTTGGCCCTTCTCTCTGCCAGGCAAGCCAAGGTACTGGCTCAGGCAACCACAGGGGCCACAAACCTGATCTGAGGATCTGGGCTGAATGTCCAATTAGATGGTAGATGGCACAAACAACAGGAGATGTGGATTGGATCCGCTAACATGGAGACCTTCAGTAAATGTTAATACCTTTGGGCCTCAGATCTCTTATGTGGGGGATGGGATATAGACCTTCCTGTCTATACTCCATGAGGTTATTGTGAAGATCAACTGTATCCTACAACCCAGCAGAGTGTTCAACTGCCAGTGAAGACAAAGACACTCTTGCTGAGAGGAGTCCATCACCCAGAGGTTTGAGTAACTACAGGTTTGCATGGAGTCCACATGGGGCAACCACCTGCTGTGTGTGATATATATCACAAATTCCATCCTACTTAGCACAGTCACTTCCTCTTGCTGGGCCTCAGTTTTCCCAACTGCAAAATGGGAAGACTGGGCTAGATCCCCTCTAAGGGCCCTTCCAGTTCTGGAAGTCTAAAGCACAACGTTTGGCTCCACCACTCTTTTAACTGTTCATAGCTTGGGACTCTGGCTGGTTCTGTCTCCCCAGGTTTCCCCAAAAGCTTCTCTTCCAACAGAAGCTGACCTGAGGACAGAGAGAGACAATCATCTCCCAGGGAGAAAACAATGGCGCTCAGCTCCTAGTCATCAATACTTACAACTTTGGGCTTCGTTTTGGTTGGTGACTGAAGAGGGGATGTCACTTTCCTCAGTTGGGGTGGATGAGGTCGGTACGGCACATAGGTTTGCAGCTGGGGGAAGAGTCGAACCTCCAGAGGGGTCCTCACGGGGCTGGCGGGAGGGCTGGGTTGTGGGGGCGGCTTGCTCTCAGAAGTCGAGAGTGAAGGCACAGGCGGGTGAGGAAACAAAGGCACCGTTTTTCTCTCTAAGGGGCATGGAGGGAAACAAAGGATGGGCTGCAACAAGGACCTTCTTCCTTGGAGACAAGGTGAGTGACTTATGCCATAAAGATCTGACCTCCCCAAGGGTCAGTCCATATACGTGGGTGCTGACCTCCAATCCCCCCACCCCCAGGAAAATTGCCCACTCACCTGGATTTTTTTTTTTTAAGATTTTATTTATTTATTTTACAGAGAGACATAGTAAGAGCAGGAACACAAGCAGGGGGAGTGGGAGAGGGAGAAGCAGCCTCCCCGCAGAGCAGGGAGCCCAATGCAGGGCTCGATCCCAGGACCCTGGGATCATGACCTGAGCCAAAGGCAAACGCTTAATGACTGAGCCACCCAGGCGCCCCCTCACCTGGATTTTTGACCGATTCCACCAGGATTCTAAAGTTCTCTTTATTTGCACTCAGGCCTGCAATGACATCTTCAATCCTCCAGAGATCTTTCTGTATCTGCGATTTCTCCTGAGAAAGACAAGGTGGTGGTTCATTTCCTTCTTAGCACTTCACCAGAAGTTTCTCATTAGGACTTATGCTGTCATTTCAGACATAGTCCCTCACCCTAGGGGGGGGGCGGGGGCAGCATCCTCTTTGGAAACTCCACCAGGGCTAGACCCATGCCTGCCTCGGAGCTTCACAGGGAAGCACACATACAGAAGATGCCCAAGATCCAGGGAAGAAATTCAGAGGAGCTTTCTCTGATTCACCTTGCCTAGTTCCCCCTAATTTAAAAAGAAACTGCCTTAAATACTGCACACTTCCACTTATAAAGTATCTACAGTAATCAAAGAGACAGAAGAGTGGTTACCAGAGGCCGGGGTAGAGATGGGAATGAGGAATATTGTTTAATGGGTACAGGGTTCCAGTTTCGCAAGATGAGGAGAGTTCTGAAAATTGGCTGCACAGTGTGAATGTACTTAACACCACTCACCTGCACATTAAAAATGACTAAGGTAATAAGCTTTATGTTATGCATATTTTATCACAATTAAAAAAAAAAAAGACTGTTTTAGGCAACCATGGCAGAAGGGAAGAGAAGGCAGAGACTAGAGGTTACACTATCCCCAGAATATAAAGAGCATCTTTGAAAAGACAAAGCTGAATCCTGGGATTTGAGGTTCATTTAAAAGCACAATGGGAGTGAATATTTGGCAATAAAAAGAAATGAAGTATTGATACATGTTACAACATGGACCAACCCTGAAAATGTTTCTGCCTTGTGAAAGAAGCTAGACACAAAGACCACATTTTATATGATTTCACTTATACAAAATGTCCAGAATACGTAAATCCATAGAGACACAAAGTGTAACAGTGGTTGGCTAGAGCAGAGCTGGGGAGTTCAGGGATGATGAAAATGTTATAAAATTGATTGTGGTGATAGCTGCACAACTCTGAATATTCTAAAAACCACTGAAATGTAGACTTTAAAAGGGTGAATTTTATGGTATATGAATTATGTGATAAAATCATTATTTTTTTAAACGTACATGTCCACATGCACACTCTGACAAGTCACAAACGATATCAGAGACGGGTAGGTCCTAGCAAGACGTGAGCAGGTTTTATCACGATTAAGGGACTCTGGGCATTTTACTGAGTACAGCTGACACACATTACATCAGTTTCAGGTGTGCAACATTGTGATTCAACTTCTCTACAGCTTACACTACGCTCACCACAAGTGTAGCTATCATCTGTCAAGATACAACACTATTACAATATTATTATATTCCCTATGCTGTGCCTTTTATTCCCACAATTTATTCATTCCGTAACTGGAAGCCTGTACCTCCCACTCCTCCTCACCTGTTTTGTGCATTACCCCCAACCCCCTTCCCTCTGGCAACCATCGGTTTGTTCTCTGTGCTTACAGCTCTGATTCTTTGTTTAGTCTTTTGTTTTTTAGATTCCACATGACTGAAATCATGTGGCATTTGTCTTTCTCAGTCTGACTTATTTCACTTAGCATAATACCCTCTAGGTCCATCCATGTTCTTGCAAATGGCATGAGCTATCTTTTTTATAACCGTATAACATTCCATTGTGTGTGTGTGTGTATAATACATCTTCTTTAGAAATCTGTCTAGCAATGGACAGTTAGGTTGCTTCCGTATCTTGGCTATTGTAAATATGCTTCAATAAACATAGGGGTGCATATATCTTTTCAAATTAGTGTTTTCATTTCCTTTGCCTAAAAACCCAGTAGAGGAATTGTTGGATCATATGGCATTTCTAATTTTTTTTGAGGAACCTCCATGCTGTTTTCCCGAGTAGCTGCACCAATTTACACTCCTCCCAGATAGTACATGAGGGTCCTCCTTCTCCACATCTTCACCAACATTTATTTCTTGTCTTTTTGATTTTAGTCATTCCGACAGGTATAAGGTGATCTCATTGTGGTTCTGATTTGCATTTCCCTGATGATGACTGATGTTGAGCATTTTTTCATGTGTCTGTTGGCCATCTGTGTATCTTTGGAAAAATGCCTATTAGGGTCCTCTGCCCATTTTTAAATGTTTTTTTGTTCTCTGGGTTGTTTTTTGTTTGTTTTTTTGGTGTTGACTTGTATAAGTCCTTTATATATTTTGGATATTACCCTGTGGATACCTTTTAATAGAGTTGTTTAAACATCAAATATTCTTTTAATTTTTAAAATTATTGTGGGAGAAGTTAGCCTTGATCACTCCCCATGGACTTAAAAACAAAGGCTTCACACCCCCTCTCCTCTCAAGGCACCCAGCCACCCTCAAGTGGAAGAATTCTTACATGTGTGATACTTAGGGACTTTCCTGATTCTACAAGTAGACTATGTGCCCTTGGTATATCTCCACAGGCCTGCATTTCAGATACAGAACTATAACTTATATATGTTATAGTCCCAAGCTATGAACAGTTAAAGAGTGGTGGAGCCAAATGTTGTACTTTAGACTTCCAGAACTGGAAGGGCCCTTAGAGAGGATCTAGCCCAGTCTTCCCATTTTAATGATTCAGTTTCTTTTTTTTTTAAATTAGCATATAATGTATTATTTGTTTCAGAGGTAGAGGTCTGTGATTCATCAGTCTTATACAATTCATAGCGCTCACCATAGCACATACCCCCCGCAAGTGTCCATCCCCCACCATCCCCCCTCCAACAACCCTGTTTGTTCCCTGAGATTAAGAGTCTCTTAATATTTCTCTCCCTCTCTGGTTTCATCTTGTTTCATTTTTTCCTCCTTTCCCCTGTGATCCAGGTTCTTAGCACATGGATGGTGAGTGAAAAAAGGCCCGATCATAGCAGGAGGGGAAGAATGAAGGGGGGGAAATCAGAGGAGGAGACGAACCATGAGAGACTATGGACTCTGAAAAACAAACTGAAGGTTGTAGAGGGGAGGGGGTGGGAAGATGGGTTAGCCTGGTGGTGGGTTTTGGGGAGGGCACGTTCTGTGTGGAGCACTGGGTGTTATATGCAAACAATGAATCATGGAACACTACATCAAAAACTAGTGACGTAATGTATGGTGATTAACATAACAATAAAAATTAAAAAAAAACTAGTGATGTAATGTATGGTGATTAAAATAACATAAAAAAAAGGCCCAGTCACATAAAATTCCCTGATCAAATGTTGTCCAACAGCTGAGACAACAGATGTCTGAAGCCTCCCTCCTAAGGGAGCTCACATTCTCATACTCTCTCCACCCTTCCAACACTAATGCACATCCTCAGGGCTGATAAATAAGGAACGGGCTTGATGCTCAGCTCCACACCAAGCACGACAGACATAGTATTGAACCCCGAGTGTGTGTGTGTGTGCGCGCGCGCGCGCGTGAGTGTGCGCGCACTACCAGGATTATCTCAGGAGCAGAGGTCCCCAAGTAGAGTGCTGGGAACAGGTAAAGGAGGAGCGTTAGATTAAAATCAACTCTCTCCCCTCTCCTCTGGAAGTCTACCTGGCATATTTTTACCTGTTAGTTTGCAGTTCTGCCCCCATTTAGCCTGTCACCCCCACATGTAAGAGAAGAGCAAGGGCAAGCAAAAGCCAGAGAACCTCTAAGTTTCTCCAAGGACGATGGAATTTCAGAATTTAATAACAAGGTGAAGAAAGTTTTTAGGAAGCAGGGGGTGGTGTTTCATCCCTGGATCCTCACACCATGCTGGGCAGAAAGGCTCCTGTGGACTGCATTCAGCAAACGCCTGAACTTGTTCAGAAGCAGGGACACATACAGGTAGCCTCACTATCACTGCCTCTCACAGTTGCTTCAATGTTCTTTTATTCTCTGGCTTCCCTGTGCAGGGAGTCACAAGGATCTTCATAAATAAAGCCACTCATCTTTACTGAAAAGCCTGTGAATTTTCTCACAGCCAAACCTGGCTAAAGGGAGGCAGGTTCCAAGCCCCTTCCTGAGAATGTGTATATGGGGCTGCACACATATCTCCACTGTTCATGATTTATTCAGGACTCTAACAGCTTGCCTGGCCTAGAATTACACCAAAGAAGTTAGCACAAAGCCTGTTCAAAGAAGGGCTTTATGAGCTTCCCAGATCCTTGTGGCAATCGGGGAAAGTATGAGCAACGCCACCAGGCTAGGTGGAAGTCAAGTTACAGAGGCCACGTTTCAAACTAGCCTATCTCTTCATAACTTACTTACGTGGTTAAGTTCTTCAGGGAGTCCGTGACGAGACTTGTACATTGTGCCCATTTGTTTTCCAGGGCAGAGAAAGGGATTCTCGGACTGTGGTATGTTAAGTCACCACGAAATAAGGCATGGTAGAAACACCAAATGGCCAATGACCACATAAAAAGATGTTTAACCTACTAGTAATTAAATAAATGCAAATTAAAACAAGATGTCCTTTCTCAGCCAGCAGACTGGCAAAGACTAAAAAGACTGATAACATCAAGTACTGAAGAGGATGTAGATACACAGGCTCAGCTCCCTCATTCACTGCAAATGGGAGGGCAAATGAGTGCAGCCTTTTAGAGGGTGATTGGCCAGCATCCACCAACATTTAAGATGTACACTCATTTCAATTTAGCAAGTCCACCCTAGGAGCGCATCTTCGATAAATGCTTATAAATGAGTTTGAAAGGGCAGTTAGATAGATGCTCACTGTGGTACCATTTATAAAAGCAAAACTCTGCAAATAACTTAAATGCCCATCAGAAAAGAATGGCTAAAGTATGGAATATTGAGACTACGAAATACTATGCAGCAGCTAGGAACTAATTTCCTTTACTTTGCACAGCTTTCTGAGATTATGGAAATCTTACAATCTGTGCTGTTCAATACAGTAGCCACTAGACACATGTGGCTACTGAGCATTTGAAATGATTCTAGTGTAACTGAGGAATCTATTTTTAATTTTAGTTAATTTCAATTAATTTATGTGTACACTTAAATAGCTACTTTATCAGGCAACATAAACTTGGGGGTATCTTTCCTGGAGAGATTTCCACAACATGAGGTTATGGCAAAAAAGCAAGTTACTGAACAATGTGTAAGTATGATTTCTCTTTAAGTAAATCCAACTCCCATCTCCAAATAAATTATATGACTCTATATGGATGGGCATATGTTTGAAAACTCACAGAAGATGGTACGGAAGGCGATACCACATAGTGATGGCACAGATTACATACAGGGAAGGGAGGCATGGGAAAGGGAAGGGAGGCAGGGAAGCTTTTATTTCATTTTTTGCTTTTGCTTCTTATTGTTTGGCCTTTTTGGAGAGATGCATTCATGTGTTATTTTTATAGTTATAGAAACACAAGGAATGAAAAGCTAAAAAAAAAAACACTGCTAAAATTAATTAAAGAAGATCCAAGAGGATAAGTATAATGGGATAGAACAGTTTAAGGAACTAGTAACTAGAAATAATCATTTGAAAGACACTGTCAACAATATTCACCTAGTATTTTCAAGCCACTATGCCAAGTGCTGGGGTACCAAATAAGAACAGGAAAATGTTAGCTTGGATACAGGGAAATTATGGAGGGGGGGGAAACAGCAGCAGCAGGAGATGGACAACTTCTGGGGGACCTAGCAGACCAGCCCTGAGCTACAGGCAAGCATCTTTTCCACATGGCCTTAGACCCAGGCTTTCTGGTAATCAGCTCCCAATGCTGAGTAGAGGGACAGCAGGCTTTTCCCAGGCCATACACCTAATCCCCCTCCTGAATTTCTTCAATCTTTGGGCAGGCTGATATCCAGAGTCAATATATTTATGAAATCACTTGAAGGAAGAGCCTGGGCTAGCACTAGTTCACAGATTAGCAAACTTAGCAACAAAATTGGCCTAGCATGGTGCCTCAGGCATATGAAGTCTCCATTAATGCTTGCTGATTTCAAATACATTGGATTTATGTCAGAGAAAATATGATAGAGCTGAAGCTGGGTTCAAAAGCAGGTTATTTTCCATTTTTAGAAATTTGAGGGTGGGGCAGAAGCCTGATCAGGCACCACAATGGGGAAACACTGGGTAGCTGCAGGACCCAACTGGGGAGAACAAAAACCACACAGGGCCTTTCTTCTCTCACCTTTGGGGGCAGAGGCAGCCATCATTGGAATGGCCTGGTTTGTAAGGGCAGAGGAGCCAGGGCTCTAAGCTTAGCTGCCTTTCCTGAGTGGGGCAGTGGCCACAGCGCTGGGTATCTCCCAGCATGGCTCCAGAAATGCAAGTGACCACCTGGAGACCAGAGGCACCAAGATGGACCTGGATTCACACTACCTCCTCAGGTGAAGGACTGATAACATCTACCTTCAGGAATCGGAGGGAGGAAGGAAGGGAGGAAGGAAGGGAGGAAGGAAGGAAGGAATTCGGGGTTCCTGCTGCTGTCTAAGTGAGTAGCGCCAAGATGGGGCAGAGAATCACAGGAACACAGATCATTCTCAAGTCTCTGTAAGGTTCTCAAGTTTGGTATTTCTTTCCTCTCAGGGCTGTTTCCCCGAATGATCAGTAGTAAAACCCTTACAAAAACCCAAGAACTTGTCCTCGGGAGGAGAGAGGTAGGGGTTGCTGAGTTTTCTCATCACAGCCTGGCAGGGATCCCTGAGTGAGAGCTTGGGGGGCAAGCAAGCTGAGTCCCAGAAGAAGAAAAGGCCCCTGGATAGGGCTCACAGCCCCACAGGTGAAGGCTCTCAGAAGGAACAGAGCTCAGACGGGATGAGGAGCCCTTGGTTCACCTGGAAAAAAAAGGCTCTTCTGTGTTGCTCTTGCAGGGTCTGCTTCAGCTGCTCCACATCACTCTCTAACTTCAGGTATTCATTCCATGCATTTTCCATCTCCTGTTGGCCAAGGAAATGCTCCTGAGTTTTAGTTATCCCCTGTCTCCCAGACGGCCCCATGAGCACCTGTGCTCTTGACCACTGCTGACCCAGCCATGGTAAGAGGGAAGGGGAGCCCAGCAGGTCTCAGGCAGGCCTAGGAGGAGAGAGACAGGGCTTGTCTTCTCATTCCTGCTCTGACCCTGGCCACCTGAACTGTCCCCTCTCCCACCACGGGAGACACTTTGGTCCCCAGACCCACCAGAAAGGGCCTGTACCACATCAGATGGACAAATACAAAAGTAGAAATTCTGATGTCTTAGAATTAACTGCACACAGATCAGGGAAATCTGGTCCCTTGGGTGTCACTGTAGCCATACAGCAGTCACTGATGGAAAGCATCTTGAGGTACCAGCAGAGACACACGTGAGCCCCAGACAAGCTGAACTACCATCAGGAGGCAACCTGGAGAAGTTCTGCTACTCCAAGACTCGTCCCTGGCCACCAACTCAACTACAGCTTGTGAGATAGGAGAAGCAGCCCCCTGCCCAGCCCCCTGCCCAGTTGGGGGTGGGAGATGGGGGCAGGGGAGTGTCTGCCACCCTCCACACCCTCTACACACAGTGGACTCTCTGGAGATCTCTGCCCGGATGTGGACAAGGTCCTCCTGCAGCAACCTCTGCTGGTGAGCAATCTTCTCCAGGTGCGGGGGCTGGTCTCGGTACTGCTCCATCTGTCTGTGCAATACCTCCAACACAGACTCCAGCTGGTCCTGCACCGGGCAAGGGCCAAAGAACAACAGGATAGCAGGACAGCCCCTGGAGGCCTCCCCATCCCACGCCAGGAACTAAACAAACCTGCTGGGTCTAACTGAGGCTGAAGGGCCCACTGCCCAGCTGGGGCCTCTGATTCCAGCTCTAACTCTGCCCACTGGGTGGCCTCCTGGGACAAGTCACCTAACAGCTCTGTGCCTCAGTTTTCTCATCTATGAAGTGGGTATAAGGTCATCCACTCTTTATGTGATAAGTGATGTATGAGGATACATCAAAGACTAGATGGAAAATTCTCTTTTCTTGGGGAAAAGGGCATGTTATGAATCTCCAGCACCACAAGTATAATACCTTATTAAAATTCAAAAAAAAAATCACACTAAGTATCCAAGAAACGAAACATGGGCCCCTGGCCTGTTCCTCCCCTCCAATCCAGACTCGCTTCCTCTGTAGCCCAGATCCTAGGAGGAAAGGAGCTTATTAGGAAATGACAGCCTCTGTCTTGTTACAAGCGTGGCCACTTTCTCCAAGGCAGCCCCCTTCCATGGAGTTCAAGGGCTTGGGGTCATCACATATAAGCCAGCAGAGCCCTCCTCTCCCAGGCTGACCTCACGAGGTCTCCAAGGAGAGGTAGGCCAGAGCAGAAATAAGGTGGAGGAGGGGTAGGTGGCACTTGGAATAAGCAGGCTGAAGTCTCCCCATAAAATTTCCTCCAGGTTTAGGCAGAAATGCCCCTGGAAGTGAACACATTGTTCTGAATAAACTAATACCTGCTCTGGATAAATGAATACCTGTGACATGAGAGTCCAATCTATATCTGAGGAAAGACAGCATGACAAAACCCCCCTCCACTCAGCTCAAGATTATGCAAAACTGATGCATACTTTGTTCTCCTTGAGGGCTCGGATCTTGTCTTCCAAGTCCTGGAGGATCCTGTCTTGTTCACAGAAGACGCTCAGTTTGACCTGTGAGCAAGAACAGGTTGGAAAGGGCCTGGGATGATGAGAAAAGGGCACAACCTTGAAGCGTGATCAGAAAGTCTTTGGCTACGGAACCATCCAAGCCCTGCCTGAAGCTGCCTGCCTTAGGTCTGGTGGCAGCAGGCAGCCGGGGGGTGGGGAGGGTCAGCCTGTCGCCCTGCTCACTCACGTCAATGTCACTCTCCGCGATCTTCACTGGCTTCAGACTTCGATCCTTGACAAGGTCCCGGCCTGTCATCTGGGAGGTGAACAATTTAAAGGAGATTAACCATGAGGTTCAGGATTAGATCTCGAGGAGAGTTAGCCCCACGATGGACGAGTGTGGAAGTCTTGGCGGGTAGGGTCACGGTATGAAATGGGCAAAAACTCAGGCGAGGCCTGATTTTTATGCCTACTTCATTTTAGGGAAAAACCAAAACCTTTTTGTGATCCAAGAAGCACTTGTAAATTTCTCAAATTTAAAGAAAAAGTAGACATTGACTGTAGAAGCTTAATTTGCCCAAAATGAGTTCAGTATGAATCCTGGAAGATTTAAAAGACAGAGTTTTGCTACCGAACCTGGGGTCAAACCCAAGTTACAGAAGTCTATGACCCCCAGCCCAGGGCAGGGAGGCGACCAGGAGGAACCAGTGAGTATCTGGGGCATTGCCAAGCCTTAGTTTAAGGAAGCCCCTGAGCTGCTTACCTCCCCACGAACAAGGTCAGCCTTTCTCACTCTACATCATTTGGGAGGAAAATCAGGTCAAGGAATGAAGGAACCTGGATAATTCCTGGCTGGGGTTTTCAATTGATCCCTGAGTAACTGAGGCAGGTCATATTTATATAAGTCACAAGTTACCCTGTCCTCTCAAGAAAAGAAACCAAAAAGCAGTAGACAAAAATCACCAAACTTATGGGTCAGTGGGCATTCACAACATTGTCCATCCTTCCCTTGACCTCATGTGGGCACCACGCTGGCATCTCCCACTGACCCCTACAAAGCTAAACTCAATTCTTTAGTCCATGTTTTCACTTCCCCTAATCTCCTACTTGCCAAAAGCTGTGTGGGATGGGGATGGGGAGACTTTTCCACAGATGCACACCCCCACCCCCCACAGCCAAGCCATGGTCAGAGAGAGCCAGGTTGAATGTGCCCCATGCAGGGAAGGCCATCTTGCTGAATTCCATTTTACAGATGTGACAGGGAAATGGAGGGCGGAACCCCTCTCTTCCATGAGATAGATGGTGTGTATACTATGCTGAGGGTCCCAGTGTTGATGGACAGACAGCTGCTGGAGAGATGGCCCTTTCTCCCTACTCCATCTGAGAGATCTAGTAAGTTGTGTGAATAAAAAGCAAAAATATATTGGCAAACATTCCCCTGAGAACTCAAGCCATTCATGTGCCCAACTGTCCTGCACTCCCTCTCCTTATCATCATCAGCGAATGCCAAGGTCAAGGTCAAGGGACAATGCCCTCTCCATGCCTTGGGCTGAGGACAGAGTCTGGCCGCAGACACACCCCCAACCCATTCCCATGCTCCCTTTGGTCACACAGCAGAGGGCAGGGACCACCGTCTTATTTATCTTGGTAAAGTCAGCCCTGAACATAAAGCCTGGCACGCTGGAAGGCACTGGGCAAATGCTTATTGCATTGGAGGTAGGTCAAAAGGAAACACATGTGGGGGAGAATTCCTGGAAAAAGTAGAACTCCAGCCAAATTCTGCTCTTCGGACTGGCAGATTATGTGTACATACATACACACACACAGTCACAGGAAACATGGACTACTGCCACAATCCACAAACTGCTGGCTCTGCAAGGACACAGGGCTGGGAAAGGTGGGGCAAGGAAGCGGAGGGAGAGGACGGGGGAGGGGTGGAATTAATCCTGGTGAACCCCAACAGCTGACCTCCCAGGCAGGACGTGGGCCTTTAAACTCAGGGGAACCCAGCAGGTAAAGGTAAGGTGGTCACTCTGGGTCACAGTCCATCAAAGCAGAGGACAATGAGCTTGTCTACTCTCCAAGGGGCTGATGCTTGGCTCACTTCCTAGGAAGAAATCATTTTCAAATTGAGATATGCTGTGGAGATTTTTTTCCTCCTAGCAAAACTCTTCCCTTTATTTCACTGGAGTATTAAAAAGATAACTTTTTGATACTGAAATAGAAAGGCAGAGCATCTGATTGAGCAATGCCTCATTTACCCAACACCATCAGGAAAGGAATGACGTATTCTACATAAAAAGGACATTTTGAGAAAGCTGAACCTTTTAAACCTTTTGATGGAAAGGTTTTTAAAAGTAAGTCCTACGCTGCCTTCATAGAACTGAATATAAATTCAACCTTTCAGGGATGAATCAGAGTCATTATAAAAATCAGTAATATGGAATTTCTTAGAAGTCAGTGTTTTAGGACTATGTGCCCCTTGATTAAATGCTCTTAAATTTCTGGGCTTTCATATCCGTTGTAGATTGACACATATTTTTTTTTTCCCCTCTCAGAATATTAGTAAGCCCTCTTTTCTAAGAAGTAACTCTCTCGTCCCCTTTTAAGGGCTGCATTTAAGGTGCTGTAAGTTAGGAATTCAAACGGCTGAATCTGTTAAGACTGGAGATTCAACCGGCAACATGCCGATTTTCCAGAACTCCCTCCCTCCAATGGGTCTGGTGCCCTTCAGGGGAGGTCCTTCCATACCTCGTGTCTCCCAGTCTATGGGCCTTCATACATCAGATGAAATGCTCTGTCTCCCCTCAGTCGACAGTAACCTGAGTAGGGGTGACTGTGGGGACTGTGACATATTTTCATATTTTCTCTGTACCCTTAAAGTCCAGTCAGGGCCCAGTATGTTAAGGATATTTGGGAAATGTTTGCTAAATGAACCTGTGAATGTAACAAAATAAAGTGAGTTGGCTCTACTCCTATGGAATAAAGGGCACAGGCTTTAGAGCATGAGCTTCATGAAAGTGTTTACACAGCTCAGAGGCCCTTGAAACTTCTGAATTTAGTTTTGTTCCAGAGAGTCAAGGCTATTACAAAGTATCCACAAGTATTTTATTACATCTAATTTTCCTTTTTAAACTGTGCCTTGTGATGGCAATGTTTTGATCCATTTAAAATGTCAACTATGGGTCTACAGCATCTCTGTCACCAGAAAAAGTGGAAGTCAGTGGACATTCATCCCTTTGAAAGAGTCTGTGCACCGGAAAAGAACTGAAGGCCACCCAAGCATTTTACTTCACCCTTCACCTCATCCCAACACACCTTTTCTCAGGGCTCAGGATGACTGCACATAGCACCTGCTTCCCAACCTGCAGTCTCCCTTGGAAAGCTATAAAAGCTGGCCACATTTCAGGTGCTACTTCTGCATCAGTCAGAGGCGGGACCCTGGGCAGGGAGGGGAACATCTGCTCTAGCCCTGCTTTAGACTGTTTTCAAATATCGACACCCTGCCCTGAAGAAAAGCCACGCTAATCCCAGGGCCATGGTGGAATCTCAGGATACCCCAGCTCCTCCAAGGTGACCAAGAACTGCTGTTCCTTCCCAAGGAACTCACGCTTGACTACACAGACCACACTGGTGTTGGTCGAGGTCAGTCCTCACCACGGAGGCAGATGAGAGAGAATGGGAACACAACACAAGCTGGTGGCAAGCCAGGCAAGCCCCCCCGCTCCCCTGTGGCAGCACAAAAGATGGAGTCACAGAACACTGCAGATGAGAGGCTCAGCCTGGTGTACCAGCCAAAATGCTGAAGGGAGCTTCAAAAGGAGAAAAAAATAAAACCAAAATGACTTGCAGGAAGCCTAGGGGCGGTCAGGAGAGCCCCTGGTTAAGCAAGTGATGAGGTCAGCACTGAGCCAGAAGCAATGGAATGGCCTGCTTGGAGACACAGATCAGATCATCTTACGCTTCTCCTGGGCCGACAGCCCCGTGCTGACTTCTTCAGCACTTTGTAAAGCACGTTGATCAAAGGTTCATTATTTTTTATCTGTTCCAAACAAAAAGGCAAATATAACAAAATGTAACAGGTGAGACATCAAAAGACACTTGAAGGAGGCAGAATTTGGGGAACTGGCCAGGGGAAACCTTAAGGAGGATATGTGCTATGCAATTCAAATGATCGTGTCTCAGTCTGGTTGTGCTGCTTCCCAGTTGCTGGCCTTTCCAGACTTCCGTTCCCTCGCTGATAAAATGGAGGGCAAGAAGCTCTGCCTGAAGGATCTCTGTGCAGACTAGTTTATGGGAGAGGGCCAATGTCAGGGCCCAATATCCTTCCAGTTCCTCCTGCAGAAGGCAAGGGGAAACTTTGCTTCTTCCTTTGTCCTCCTTCACCTTATGCCATGAGACACTGAATCACTAGGATGGTGCTAGGCATTAGTCTCATCCCTACCCCATATTTTCCAACTTCAGTCCCCCAGACCCTCGCCTCCACACTATGTTCATCTAAATAATGATGTCTTACCAGTGATCCCAAGTGCTTACAGCTCCCGTGAGGGAACACTATCCCTACCCGCTCAAACAGTGCATCTCAACCCTGGCTGAACACCAGCATTACCTAGGTGGTTTAAAAAAACACAAACTGATGCCTGAGTCGCACTCTAGGAGACTCAGATATAAATTAGTTTGGGGTGGAGCCTGAGCATCCAGATCCTTTTAACAGTCCCCCTTGGATGATACTGATTTGCAGCCAAGACTGGGAACTGCTACTACTGCAAAAAGTGATTCTCAAACTTTAGTATCACCTGGAGGGCTTGTTAATACAGCTCACCCTTGAGAACACGGGTTTAAATCATGAGGGCCCACTTATATGTGGATTTTTTCCAATAAATGCAGTCCAGTCCTATAAATTTTTTCTCTATGATTTTCTTATCATTTTCTTTTCTCCAGCTTACTCTATTATAAGAATACAGTCTGTAATACATATAACATACAAAATATGTGTTAATTGATTGTTTAGTTATCGGTAAAGCTTCCTGTCAACAGTAGGCTATTAATAAATTTGGGGGGGATCAAGTTATACCTGGATTTGCAACTGTGCAAGAAGTTGGTGCCCCTGACCCACACAATGTTCAAGGGTCAACACTATACAGATTTGCTGAGCCCCATATTCAGAGGTTCTCACTGAGCTGATCTGGGGTGGGACCCAAGATTTTGCATTTCTAACAAATTCCCAGGTATTGCTGATGCTGTTGGTCTGGGATCACACTTTGAGAACCATTGCTTTGAAACAATGTTTCTCAACTCTGGCCATACATTAGAAAC